ATGCTTATATATGATTGGTAAGGTGCATCTGTCCACTGATTCTCAATTTATAATAAGTCCCCCAAATTAGTTTTAATGATTTATAATAAGTCCCCAAAGTTAGTTTTAATGGGAAAGTTTCTCAGAAAAAAAGTGGAAACCACTTTGTAATATTTTAATACTATAATATCACCATAATACACATTAAATGCAATTAAATAGTGAAACACTTGCTAAAATTTAGTTTTACAACTTGCACGTATACTAAGAAAAAGTAACTGAATAAGTTAATATCTCCAAATCTTTCAAATAATTTCACTTTAATTGGGCTAAACTGTTGCTAGAACCACTAAGAAAAAATTAATTGAATTTATAAGATAAATAAAGGTTTAACTAACATATAAAAAAATAAATAAATAAATTCTTATGGTTAATTTTGGCTGTGTTGATATGGAAAGCAAATAAAAGAAGTATTTCTGGAAGAATACAGAGTGCATTCAGCAAAAGACAACATAACACTTGGCTAATTAGTCCTCAAACCCCAGAAGGTTGAATTGTTTTCTTGTGAGAAGCTCCTGGAAACAAATGGTCTCTCTATGAGGAGCTTTATAATACAGTGAAGCCTCTCTTCCCTAATGAACACGTCAGTGAACTCTGACGTCCATACAATTGTGGATGCAATCCAAGGCACAGATAGAAGACCAGAAATGGCACTAATGTGTCTTCGGAAGTGACTCCCTTCCACAGTCTCTAGAGTCCTTCAGTACTTATGACATAATAAGCTTTTCATACACTTACTCACACTAATGATGAAAAGCAGTGGAAAAAATAAGAAGTCTAGGTAAAAAATTTCCTCCCTTATCAGGGTCAAGGTGGTAGCTAGCAATATATGAGGGCACTTCAAAAAGTTTGTGAGGGCCGGCCCGGTGGCACACTGGAGAGTGCGCCACTTGGGAGCGCAGAGGCCCTCCCGCCGAGGGTTGGGATCCCATGTGGAGACCGGTTCCCGCTAACTGGCTGAGCGTGGTGCGGGCACAACACCGAGGGTTGCGATCCCATTACCGGTCAGTAAAAAAGACAAAAAGGAAAAAAAAAAAAGCTTGTGAAAAATAGAAGGATAACATGAATCTTTCCAAGGACTTTTTGAAAACCACTTGTATATGGAATAGGAAGATTATTTTAAAAAGAGGCCTCCCGTAAGCATGATCCAACAAAATAATGTCAGAATCTCTGAAATGGCCAAAAGCCTGGTGATTAATTATTTCAAAGTAAATTGCTTGCATAATAAAAGCCATCCACAAAAATATTTTAAATATTCTTTCAATCCTTTGAATGATTATATCACAACTACTAAACTGGCTGTGAGGATACAATGCTTGGTCAGTGTCACTTTTTTATTAAATGAATGAAAAGTAAAATTTTAGCTAATTAATCACCATTAGTAATCCCCCCAAATTCATATTTAACCTTCTCATTAAATGTGTGTGTTGTTCACATGAAATTCAGTAAGACTGAAACCATGCATTTACTGCACAAAGATCAGTATAATTGAGTTTGGTTATGAAATTCATTAAGACTGAAACCATGCCTTTACTACACAAAGATCAGTATACATTTTTTTTAAGTAACTATTCATATTTTCTATAGTTTCGGTGCTTACACACCATGGTATAAACAAAAACATGAGATATTTTTACTAAATTCTCTAGCTTTTTCCCAGTTATTTCTAACAGTATTAATGTTATGGGACTCTTCTTTACTCCCTGAAGGTTTCTAACATCACCCTCTCCAGAGAAAGAAGGGAAATACAGTGCCTCTGCCCTACCTCTGCCCTACTGGAGGTAGGAGAAAACTACCCGCCAGACACAGCAATAGCGCTTGAGCAGGTGAAAGAGGCACCAGCTAGCTCTCTGGAAGTCTCAGTGGGAGCACAGCCCTGACCCTTGAGACAAGTGGGAAGGAAGCAGCCTTAGAAATTATCCCAAGGAGGGAAACTAGAACAATAGCCACAGTGTTGAAGTCACAACATTCCTTGGAGTAAAGGGCTCATGCTACACTCAGCAGCATGGGGGTGACCAAAGAGCAGACTGAGTTGACTTCACTGACCATGCAAAGACTTATGAAAGTGTTAAGGAAAAAAATCCTCTGGGTATCTGTATTTCCAATATTTCACCCCCTGCCATGGAAATTTATTCTTAAATGTTACTCTCTCAGTCTATAAAAGATTAATGAACTTAAGTGTGGTATTGTAGGAATCATAGCAAAACACCTCCCTTAAGGTATCTTCTTCAGGAAAGAGCTTGAGGTGAACAGATCATTACCCCAAACATTTCTGGTATCTGTTGAAGATGACTCATGCATTGCTTTTCCTGTAGAAAAAATTTCCGCCAGAATTTTATCTGTTATATTTTTGCCTTTTTCATTACATTATCCTGACATGTTATAGATTTTGGAAAATTTCTGGTATCTGTTGAAGATGACTCACACATTGCTTTCCTGTAGAAAAAAGTTCTGCCACAATTTTGTCTGTCATATTTTTGCCTTTTTCATTACATTATCCTGACATGTTATAGATTTTGGAAAATCTTATATTGATATTGAGATCATATGAAACCATTAATGAAATAATAATAAGATGTAAATGTCTTATGAATGCAAATGAGTACATAATTACTTATTTACTTGTTTTAGAAAAACAGTGTAAATTGTAATTATGAGTTTTCCAATCTATTTTTCAGATATCTTCCAGCTAAAAAATCTAAATTTTAATAATTGTTGATGTCTGCCATTACTTTCTTTCAGTTATGGAAGGGAAAATCAAATATTCCATACTACTCCACCCTGGAGTTTGTTTAGTTTATTAGCTAACTTTTTCTTGGAAATGCATGATAAAATTGAATCATCACCTGATTTCAACTTCTTCCTTCATTCTGTAACAATATTTGTTTTTAAAAAAGATATTTTGTCTCACAAGACTTCCTTGGGAAAATGTGGACTCTTTTAATTTCATGGATTTCATTTATTCAAAAGATTTTGGCACACTATTGTAATTCCTGAACAGTGGCCCTGTGTTTTTATCCAGTAAGTGGGAAAAAAAAATAACTATTTGATATATGCTACCATTTTGAAAAGTGTAGTCCTTTTCACATTGCAAAGAAAATAAAAGTATCATACATAATAATTTAATTGAGTGTGAAATTAAATAAATTAATTTAGTATTTTACTTTTATGTTAATATTAAACCTCATATATTTCTGGAAATACCACGTTTATTTTGGTTATTATAACTAAAAGCTGTTTTCATGTAAAATTTTTTCATTTAAAATTGTAACATGAGTTGCAACATATTTTCATTGGGAATTGAGGAAGAGGTAGTATTCTACATTTGATATTCCAATCTTTAAAATTCTAAAGAACTTGACAACTTTATATACCTTAGAACAATGTCGTTTATAAGTTTGCTTCTCTAAAGTATCTTCCTAGTGGAGGAAAAATGTTTGATTATTTAGTAAGTCCTTTTAACATAAATATTCTTTCAATCAAACTCGTAATGACCTATGGTCTACAAATGTCATTAGGTTTTATAAATCCTCCTTTGGACGTTGCTAAATATTTTTGCAAATAAGTACCTTTGAATTATACACTTCCTAAAATTCATTCACTCTGCAAATAAATAACAGAGGCTACTGATTTCTGCGACCACAAATATCTCAGAAAAAGCAAAGACAGTCACTACAAGGCTTTGTGTGCCAGGAGTATGCATTTTCCACAGCTAATATCATTCAGAACTGCGGACAGCTCCCACTAAAGGCACGAAGTTGATCTCAATTTCTACGAGTTTCTAAATAGAACTCAAAGTAATACTGCTTTTTATTCCTATATCTGTTTGCTGCTTAATAGAATCCTATTAAAACTGCTTAGCATGCACACGTGCTCCTTCAGTTGATTCTTTTTTCTTTTCCAACGAGTTTCGTTAAATAAAATTAAATAAAATAACTACTACCCTGAGTTACTAGTTTTGGATTTTTAAATGGAAGGTCCAGCCTTGTTCAGGAGCTAATGCAACGTGGCTGCCGGGTGTGCGTATGCTAATAAGAGGATCTACTTCACGACCTTCATCTGACAATCTCTAAACATGCTTATAACTGAAGACTACTTGGGCGACAAATAAGATCAGGAAACGTATTAATTTTGATTCTACAAAGCGGAGTTCTTCTGACTGTTCTCCTGCCTTTCTTCCCGAGCTGGGAAACGGGAAAGAGATTTCTGAAATAGACTTGTAGTCAAGGTCAAGAAAGGGTGTCGCTCTATTTCAGGAAGGGGGCTCTGGAAACGCCCCCTGCCTCTGTTTCGGGAACTCGAGGCTTCCAGTCACGCTCCTGCCCTGCCTGGCAGCGCTGGCTCCACTGCACACTCAAGTCAGGGACCATCCAAGCGCACATTATCCTTCCCCAGCCTGCTAGCCACTATTCTGAAGAAATTCAGGGAGGACACCCAGTGCCTATAAACAGAAGAAAAACAGATTACTGGGGACAGCGGCTGGAACAGCTAAGACCTGCGAGTCACTGTCTCTCATTACTCCATCGTCTCCTGAACCCCAGAAGCGTCTTTTTTGCCTTTTGCGAGGGACCCACATCTTGAGAGAGCAGAGCAAGGACGGGTGTCTGTCTGCCCGCTTCCTTACACTCATCTCCGAAGTAAAAGTTTCCCTGGTACAACTTAGCCTCGTGTCATCCGGGGGTCACCGTGGCCTTCATCCTTCCCCGTTACGTCCCCAAAGTTCCCGAGGCAAAGGAGGCCAGCCTCCCCGGGGTTCCCGGGCAACAGGACCTCACTATTCGAGCCCCTCCTCGGTGGAAACTAGTTGGAGAAGAGTCGAGCCCGTGCAGCCCGAGCGGAAGCCTCCGGCAGCGCCACCCCGCCGCCCGCCCGGGTCCCCGGGGCGCCCCCTTCCCAAGAGCTGAGAAGCATGTTGGAGGGCGCGCCTGGAAAGGAGGGGGGGCGGCGGCAGGGAGTCTCACCTGAAATCGCTGTAAGGGTGGATAATCCAGAAGCCTGCAGTTTTAACCCTTTCCTGCTCCTTCTCCACCGCCTTCTGGCTCCCAAACATGCGGAGGGAGAATTTGTTGACCCCGGGCTGCAGCATGGAGGTGAACTGCCTCTGCATGAAGCCGTACTGCCGCCGGGGCCCCTCGGCGTCCTCGAAGCCCCCCGCCGGCTCCTCGCCGCCGCCGCCGCCGCCGTCCACCTTGAAGCACACGGAGTTGCCCTGCTCCTTCGCGCCGGCCGCGCCGCCCCCCG